CTTGTATAACTTTTTCAAATATGCTTGCAAAAGGCTATGAAATTTTACCATGATCATTCTTGCTTTAAGTTGAAATTTCTCTAATCTTTCCTTACTAGATTGTTCCTTACAAAGCGTGCTTTCAATATCTAGTTTCAATGTCTAGTTCTCCCTTCTGCATTAGTTACTCAGCTATACAATTACATTTTCTGAGCCTCCCTTGCAGCTATCTATGCCCATGGGACTAAGCTTTAAGTCAATGATATGTAAGCACTGTGCTATGTGGACTTCTGAAAAAAAATCTCTCTTCTACTCCTCCACCCTACTGTCTAGCATGAAGACACAATAGCTGGAGATAAATAGATATCCTGGGCCATGAGTTTGAGGGGTGATGGATAAGACTGGTTTGTGGACTCCCTTATTAGAAGATAAATTTCATGAGAACAGGGACCTTGTTTTTCTTGGTCAAAGCAACCTAAACCTGAACCCAAAAAGTGTGACTTATAGTAAGAACTCGGGCGCGTGCATGCTATCTCTTCAATTATATCCCACTCTGTGGGACCATATGGACTGTAGCCCGCCAGGCTCCTCTGTCCATGGGATTCTCCAGGCAAGAATACTGGAGCGAGTTGCCATGCCCTCTTCCAGGGGATCTTCCTGACCCAGGGATTGAACCTGCATCTCCTGCATTGGCAGGCAGGTTCTTCACCTCTAGCGCCACCTGGGAAGCCCAAGAGTTCAGGCGCTGTGCTTAATTGCTCAGTCACGCCTGACTCTTTGCAACTCCATGGACTATAGCTTGCCAGGCTCTTCTGCCCATGGGGGTTCTCCAGGCAAGAATACTGGAATGGGTTCTTTGCCCCAACCCAAGGATCAAACCCAGGTCTCCCACATTGCAGGCAGATTCTTTACCTTCTGAGTCATCAGGGTATTGAACAGCCATTAAATGAATAAGTTGAATTAATGAATGCGTTTACTCCAGATCCATGTAAAACAAGGAATGTTCATACATCAATTGGCATATGCAAATGTAGATTCTATCACAGAATCAGACTCTAGCTTAATTCAAATGTCATTACTGCTCTGCTTCCCTTTTCTCTCCCAGATTTGCCACAGTCATAACAGGATAAGGATTTTTCTCACTGCCCTCCAATGTTCTTCTGAAACAAAATATTTTCAAATCTATTAATACTTTCATAATGGTGCTTCTGAATATTTTTTCTGCTTAGCAAGTTTAAAATTCTTTAATTTTCAAGGTCATGCATATCTATTTTTGTATGTGCCTGATGTTAAATGCAGGCAGTGTTTTGAAACTTAATCTTAGGCGTTGTCCCAAGTCTATAAGAATCATCCAAAATGATAGCTAATGACATTCCTAGGACTTCAGACAATATTATTATTGTCATGGAATGTAGTCACTAGGTCCTAAGGATTTAACGAGACGTTGTTCACTGAAACTGAACTTCCTTGAATCCTTTCCCATTCTACCATGGTTTCCCACATTTCAATATATTGCCTGTTTTTGTATCCAAACCTTATATCTTTTAAACAATTAAATTAAATATTAATCATCTTTGCTTCCTTGATTTTTGAGGTGACCTTTCCATCCTGGTATCCTTTTAACAAAGGAGAATACTCCCTCTGGGTTTTTTTCCTTTCCTTTTGGTCTTATGTGTGATGAAAGGGTTTGTAAAAGTTCACATTTTTTGCAATTACATGTCATTTCTTAATTTTTTAAAAACTCTTCCCCCTTCAAAGTTGTTGCTATTTCTTTTTACTATTTGGAGGAACAAATGTTCCCATCATTCACTTTTGTGACACACTTGTTTTATACCCGAGCTCCTTGGTTTTTCGCTCAAATTTATTTTCAACTTTTCTGATTTTGAGGGAAGCTATCATTTGCTTTTTATTAGGTATATCAAGCTTTTCTAATGTTTAAACTTCTTTATGCATTATCCTCACTTTCCTGGAGTAGCTTTCCAAACAGAAGCCTATTATAACAGAGAAAAATAGAGGTCATCAGATGAGCTCTTCCTAACCCTCTTCTCTATCAGAAATGTCTCTATTCTGACAGACCCAGAACAGGTGTCTGTCACCCAGGTCCTGTTTCCTTCCTTGCTTTTCTCTCAATCCAAAGCTAATCTATGCCTGCCCTGGAGGACATCCACTTCTGCCTTCTTGAGGACCTTGCTCTGTCAATTTTCCCATCTCCTCTAACCTCAAACTCCTTTTTACTCCATTGGCTCATACCCTTTAACATATGAACATACTTTTTTTTCCACTTAAAAAAAATTATTAACTGTACATTTTCTTCTGATGACTGGCACATCTCTCTTCTCAGCCAAATGTTTGGGAAGAAAATCCTTGTCTCCACTTTATCACCTCCTATTTATTTCTTTTACTCACTGCTTGCCTTCCACTTTGCACCCATCCCCAGTCACCCATGTGCCACAGTCAGTGGTATTTGTAACTTTCCTGCCCTCTGGACAACACTGGACTTTGTTTAGGGAATTACAAATTAGAGCTTCTAATGGCCAGGTACTGTGCTAGGTGTTCTGTTCCAGAAATGAGCAGATGTGATTTCTACCCTCATGGAACTCAGCTGATCAGCCACTTCTGATTAATACACAGTTCCCTTGATTTCCACTTCTCCCTTTAATACACAGGACCCTTGATTTCCACTTCTCCCTTTGTCAGGTTTACTTAAATGCCATTTAAATTTCCCTATTTTTGAAGTTCCCTCTCTCCCTCCCTCCCTTCCTTTTCTTATTATACATGTCTTCTCAAGGCAATTACTTCTACACCCACAGCTTCAACTACTTTGTATGTATTCCAATGACAATTTCAATATTGTTCTCATTTAACAGTTTTATTTTATATAGGACATGTCATTTACTAAAACCATAGATTCCAAGTTGCTCCATGAAAAATATTATAGTCTTAACTGTCAGCACAGCATTAGGGGATTTCCCCAATTACATTTTAAAATTGATTTAGTATGTGTTATTTTCAAAAACATAAGATGGGATATCACAAAATGGACATAGCCTACAGAAGTTTACATCTAACTTTCAACCTGAGAGCTCTACTTCCATGCTCTCGTTAACAGAGCCCCAAATGATCTTCCTCCTCAAACCTCTTCCTCTTTCTGTACTATCTAGGAAAAAGTCACTGTGCTCTCCCTAGTTCCCTAAGTCAGAACCCTAGCAGCCATTTTTGCCTCTCTTTTATCCCTCTTGCTCCGTATCTAGTCACCAAATGACCTCAAATCCTTTCCCACCACACCAGTCTCTGCCACTGCCTTTAGTTTGAACTCTCACTCCCCTCTTAGATGAATATTAAGTCTCTTAATTGCTCTTGTTTCTTCCATCAATCCTCCTTATTATCCAGAGTGACCTCACTAGAAACCACCTGATTGTGACTCCTTAAGGTCACAACATTCAAAGGTTTTCATGTTTCTGGGGGAAAAAAAATCAAGCTCTTTACCCCAGAACCTACTTTGGGGTTAGACAGATCTAGGTTTGAATTTCAGGTTCAAGTACTTGGCAGCAGTGTGACTGACCTCAGACAATGGGACTTTATAAGCCTTTGTTTTCTCATGTGCCTAACGGAGCTCATCGAGGGCAGGGCTATTGCAGGAACACAGTGCCTAGAAAGTAGGAGGGACTAACCAATGTTGAAAGAAGGGAAAGTATTTTAAAATTCACTTCAAAAAGTTGTTCTCCCTTAGAGAAAATCCTATGCCACTTCCAATCAAATTTGACTTCTACCTTTATTTTCTGATAATCACAATAAGTTGCCTTTGGGGATCCACACAATCGGAGACCAAATCCTGGCCATACCCCTGAGCAATCATGTGACCTTGGGAACATATCTTTACCATCATCTCCATTAAATCAAAACCGTGGTACTTCACTTTGCGACTCTTGAGTTTTGTATGAGAAAATCGTACTTTATGCTTTATGTTACTGGTGAAAGTAGGGAAACCTGGAGACTCGTGCCGTGGAAGAGAGAAAACAGCGAGAAAATCGAGTTGCTGAATCCCAGCGTTTCAGAGTTGGGAGGGAGGAGTTCGGTCCCTAATTTACCGATGAGGAAGTGGAGGGGTGACGTGTCCTCGAGTCTCATTCAAGACACGGACACAGCTCTTTATTGAGGACCCGGGGGATTGCTATGGTTAAACTGAAGGCGGAAACTAACACTCTTTCGAAGTCAGTTCGAGAGGAGCATTTAATTACAAAAAACTGTCAACAATTCGGGTGTAAGTAAGTTCGTTGAGCAATGCATTAAATGAGTCAGCTGTCAGACCCGGTGAAACCGAGTTGCTAACGGAACTGACTCTTTACTAACCAGCCTTCTATAGAGCCCACTGACTCAGAAAAGCTTCGATTCACAAACTCCCGCAACGCTTCCCGAAGGACCGGAAAGGTCCGAGTGCAGCACGTTGAATGGAACCAGGAGTCCCGGGCGCGCCACTCGAGGGGTGGAGCAGCCGCGGGGCGGGGGCGGGGCATTGCGAGTCACGTGCCTGCTCTCTGAGGCGGGCGCTGGGAGGAAACTCTGTGTGTGATTGGTCCGTCGTAACCAGGTGACCGAAGGACGCGTTCCGGTTGGCAAGGGCCGGCCAGTCGAGCGGCTTTCAGTCGGGAGGCGGCGGCGGAAGGAGGAGGAGCTCCGACCGCGCTCTCTCCCGGCAGTGGCTGCGCGTCTCAGCGCTTGTCGGGTCCCCACCCCTTTTAAATAAGCCGGGCTGGTCGCCGCCTTCACAGACTAGTTGACTCCGGGGAGGCGGCGGCAGCGAGACAGCGGGGGTGCGGCCGGGGCCGGAGCCCTGCCCCGGTCCCGGCGGCGGGGCGGACAGGAGAGAGGCAGGCGAGGCCGCGTCTACATGCGCGGCGCAGCCCCGGCATAGCCCGGGGCTGCCGGTGCCCGCCGCGCCATTGTTGGGGGAGGGGGCGGCTTCTGAGCTCGGCGGAGTCGGGGGCCGAGCGGAGGCGACGGCAGCGAGGAGCGGAGGCGCCCCATGGGGAACACGCTGACCTGTTGCGTGTCCCCCAATGCCAGCCCCAAGTTGGGCCGGCGCGCGGGGCCGGCAGAGCCAGACTACGAGTTTGAGGTCTACGAGGCGGCGGCCGGAGACGCGGTGGCCGTAGCACCGGCGCCCGCTGCCGTGGAACCCACCGAGTTGGATTTCGGAGCGGGTGAAGGCCACCAGCTGCAGCACATCAGCGACCGGGAGATGCCCGAAGGTAAGGAAGCGGCCGGCACGCCTCGCCCCTCGCGGGTCCGGCGCCGTCTGCTCTCGGGTTTACCTCTGGCCTCCGCCGACCCCCAGGTCCCCCGGGAGGGAGCCGCCGCCTAGGGCTCCTTCCTGCCTGGAGTTGGCTCTCTCGGGGCTGGGCACCGGGGACGGAGGCTGGCCCTGCCTGGCGTCCCCACCCCTTATTCTTTCCCCGTCGCGTCCGGCCAGTCTTTCTCCCTCTTCTCTACCCGAACGCCCAATTCTTCCCCATTCCCTTTTCGCAACCCGACCCAAGACCCCCAAGTCTGTGGCTCCTGCTGTTCGTGATTCTATTTAACATATCGTGGGACTTTGTAAAGACTTTCTGATGTATTCTCTTTTCTTTCAATGAAAACTTAAATACTCCCAACTTCGGCGATATCCATCCCATCTTCCTATCCTTACCTATCCAGATGGTACCTAAGAGAAGGAACGAGGTAAGGATCTAGATACACTTCCACTCGTTAGGCTAGTTGATACTCGGGACAAGACAGATTTTAGGATTTGTTATTTAAAATCAAAACTGATATCGACAGAGTTAGTGTGGCGTTAAGTAAAATTCTGTCTCGAGTTGTCCTGATTGAAGCGACCTTATTCTAACTATAATCTGAAAACGATAAGAAAGAAAAAGGTTAGAGGGGGGCTTAAAGTAACTGAATGGTGTGAAACGTTACTGCAGCGGCTGCAGGGAATAGTTTTTTCTGTTGGTTTTTGGTTTTTTTTACCCAAAGACGACCCCACGGAGCTCTGATTAAGATTCCCACTTTGACACAAAAATGTCTTCAGCTCCCCAGCTTTAACCAACTTCACTTGCATGTTGCCTCTTCTAAGGGAGGATTGGGGGTGGTTCCTGAGACTGTCGGTCAAAAGTTTCAAAGGAGAAAAAAGAAATTCAGACTTTAATTTGTAATACAAAGATTTGGCGGTTAAGATGGCAGATCCTGCAGAAAAGTTGTCTCCATGGCTACCTCTCCTTCCAGCCCCCTCCTGCCAGTGGAATCCTATTCAACTTTTAGAATGTTCAGGTAAAATTCTGAAGACGAAATGGCTGGGGGTGGGGGTGGGTTGTCATGGAGAAGAGGAGAGAGAGGAGAGGAAACGTTTGAATTTTTCCCTGTAGAATTTTGAAACTAGAAGACTCTAGGTTTAAAAAAAAAAAAGATTCTGGATAACAATGTGGCTCATTAATAAAGACTGTGTTCTTTAAAGTAGAAAACATTGTGCCCTGAAGATGTTAAAGCCCCACTGGCCCACTTGTTTCATTTAAATGCCAGAGAGTATTTCTTTATTTCATAGAGGAAATGTCTTATAGCTCTTATATTTAAATTTTATTTGGGTTTACTTCATTTCTTTCAAAGTTAGAATAGGTAAGCCTGTGAACTCACCCATATGATGGACGTGGCTTTGTAAGTGGAAAGTACTCCCTTTTCAGAAGAGTCAGATACTGTGAAAGAACAAATTATGTAAATTAATTGTAGCTTTAAAAACAAAGCTTGTGCATACCTGTGAAAACTGCTCAGCTTGTTGCTATAAGGTAAGCCTCTAAGTGATTTTAAAAAACAGTAGTAGGCTAGTGTAGGGAGACCAAAGTTGGACTTTTATATGATTCTTTTACGATTTACAACGTATTTTCGGGTGTATTTCACCTGACCCTTCCATCTATAAGACCTGTGACTATTCTCCCTTTGTTGCCAATGAAGAAGCCAAGGCTTATAGGTCTGAAATAACTGTAACATAGCTACTGAACAGAAGAGACAGACTTGAGAGTGGTAGATACACCAAATTTAGTTGTTGGGTGCTTAAAAAAAAGTTTGGAATGCACTTTTTATTTTATAATTTATCCATAAGATAGGCCTAACTCAACTTCAGTTTGGTTATTTCCATTTGAGTTTATTGTTCACAACTCAGAAGCAACACATACCTCTCCATTCTATGTCTGTACATTTATTACAATGGATAGGAATAAAAGAAGTCGTGAAATAGCCTCAATTTACCAGTCAGGTAAACATGTTGGTATATTTTAAAGAGTTTGTTCTGCTGACTCGAATTGAAGCCGAGAATGCCCTGGACAGAGGGACGTTAGGAGAAACTGGTAAGCGGGCAGGTAAGGTACGAAGCATTTAGTGAGGAGGAGTGCTAGGTCGGAAACTAGAAAGAGAGAGTTCATGAGCACAGAATTTACCTTTTTATGTTTGACATGATTGTTAAAATTTTAATTAAATTTGTCTTTTTTTGGCATTCAATAAATTGATGAGAGAAACCTCAATTTCAGCATTTACCTATTAAGTTTCCATAGATACGAGGTCAGAACATGAATGTAAAGTGCAAGCACATTGGAAGTTTGCTCTTAATGTTTTTATTTCAGACAGTTTTATATCAGTTTCCCTGGAAACTGAGAAATACCTGCATTGATATAAAACATTTTGGCTTTTCTGCAATGAAGAATTATTTGGTTACTTAGACAAAACCAAACATAAATGATGCTGTGTTTTTTTCTTCAGAAACCTTTGAGAAGAACATGATTTCTTCAAACTGTTTTAGTTAACTCCTAAGAACCTAGTATAAATATCAGATAGACTCAAAAGAATTTTGTCGCTATCTTGCCTTTAACAGTGTATGTAATGTAACTGATGTTAGTGTCAATAATAGAATATAAGATGCTAAGGTCCTATTATCTGATTTTATTATTATGCATCAGCTTTTCAAACAGCCTTTATATACTCCTCTTAGGAACTTTGCTCATTGAGAGTGCAAGCTGCTCTCTCAAGTGATTCCTTCCTTTCATCCTCCAAGGAGTGGGTAGGGAAGGAATTGACAATGTAATGGGGGAATGGGGGAAAACCTCTGGGCAACAGGTTTTTCCTCCTTTCAGTAGCTATTAAAACACTTTTTTTTTTTTTTTTTACTTTTTTGATAATAAACATTTGAGGTAAAAGATTTGCAAAGTACTAAAAAGTCGTTCACTCATACTCAGAATACCCAGAATTGTTATTAATATTTTGCTGTTGGTTCTTCTGGACCTTTTGTATATGTATAGACACAACGCTGTGTGTGTCGTATGAGATTGTTCTTTGTGAGCCACGTGGTAACTCTCTCTTGTAAAGTGAAGATGGGAAGCTCCTGGAACCATGCTGACACCTGAAGCGTGCTCCAGGATGTATTTCCACGCAGCTGCATGTAGCTGTACAGTCTGCTTTTTACCACCTGTTTAATGGTTGGAGCATCATTCATTTACCCACCCTTTATGGTTGTCTTTTATAATCTCATTATATTGCTTTATTCTGGGCACAGACATAAAAAGTGATGTATTGCACTTCCCTGTAGAATTCTGGTCTTATGGCTTTGTCTTATGACTTAATTAAATTCATAGGGTGAGTCATTTTGTAGTTAAGGTATTTTAACATTAAATGTTCTTTCCCCAAATTCAAGTTACCATTGATTTTTCACTGAACAGTAGTTTTCCTTTCTTAGGTTTTTGTAGGTCTTGGTAACCTGTCTGTGTCTTTGAGTCTGAGTAACTAAACTACCACTCTGAGAGATCTGAAATTAATGCTGGTCTTGGGTGACAGACACATCACAGGACAGCATTAGAAGAAATCTTAGATGATGAAGGAAAATTCGGAGAAGCATAAATGATTTGGGGTACACTGAAATGGGTGATTATTGGGCACCATTTAGGGGCAGGACAAACAGAGGTTATACAGACAAAACCCAAACCCTAACTCTGGTCTTTACTTCCTAGAGGTACCTGGGGCCTGTTGACACAGGAATAATGTCAAGTAGCGAGACACTGAGAAGAAAGAACATGATGGTCACGGACTGGGGAGGGGGGCAGTGTTACTGGGGGTGGTCTCCTTGAGTGACACTGAGCATCCTAGGGGTGAGGGGGAGCCGTGTGAGGTCCTCAGAAGGAAATATGCTTGGTGTAGGCTGAGGACAGAAAGAGGGTGGCTGCAGCTGAGTGAAAGAATGCCAGGAGGAATATCAGGGGATTAAGGCCTTGTGTCTAGTAGACCTTGACAAGTAAAAATACAGATTTTAGTCTAATTGTAATAGGAAACCATTGAGAAGTTATATGCAAGGGAATGATGATAATTCTTAAAGAAGGGGAAGGAGGCGTGGGGAGAGGGGAGGGAGATCAGACCAGCTACTCTAACGTGGGCAGGGGTAGAATGAAGCAGGAAGACAAGCTAGGAGGCTGGTGTAGTCACTGAGCTGAGAGCCAACAGTGGTTTGGACAAAAAAGCAACATTAATAAGGGCCTAAAATAGGCTGACTTGAAGAAACTGAGTGAATCTAAAAGTAGGCTAACAACAATATGAATGGGACAAGTCACAGAAAAAGAAATGCAGATGGCTTTTAAACATATCCTCACACATAAGAGAAATGAAAATACAACTACTGTAGCTTGTGTTGGGAGAAAATTCAGAAACTTGGCACTGCATTCTTTGATGATACTAAAGAAAGTTACATTCATATATTGTTGGTAGAAATGGGAAATCAACCCCTTGAAGGGGAAGTTGGCACAGTCTCACTTAATCCAGAGATCCTACTAAAGGAATTTATTCTGAAGGTATAGGCCGCATATGTTCAGTAGCAAAATATTGGAAATAATTGAGATGTCCAGTAAGGGACTGGTAGACTCGCACATCCAGACCCTGAAGAGTTAAGGAGCTGTGAAGGGGCTCTCTCCACTGTTAATGACTTCATCTCTGGGGCATGTTAACCTGAAAAAAACGGGGGGAAGATACACACTAATCTCCATGACAGAAGCAGGAGAAACGACATGCATTTGCTTATTAAAGAAGAAAAAGGAAGAACACTAGGAGAAATGCTTGCCCTTGGGTACTCTTATCCTCTTTCCTTTAGTGGGTGGCCTGACTCAATGATATGAGTTTGCACAAACAGAATCGTGTAGGACTGGGAAGCCTGGTGTGCTGCAGTCCATGGAGTTGCAAAGTCAGACAC